AGAAGCTCATTAATTAATTTTATTAATTCGTCATATTTAATTATTAGTTGAATTTACTAATTTAATCAATTCGACTAAGTTCTTAATTTGATTGGCTACAATTGAAATTCATTTGGCCATTTTTTTTATTTTTTAATTGCAATTTAAGCCTCATTTTGCCAACTTCCATAGTCCACTTTCTTCCAATTTTAAGACCAAATCTTGGCCCAACATTCCCAACTTTCAGCCCACTTCTTTTATACAATTCTCAGCCCAATTCAACTCCAATAGAAACCCATTCCTACAGCAGTACCAAAACAGACCCATATGACCCCTGTACGTTTTTCTTCTTCTTTCTCCAGCAAAAAATCAAAACCCAGAACCTCCAGCAATCCAGCAGCAATCAGTCGCATCAGTCCGGCAAATCTGGAGAAAAGTCGTCCTCCTCGCCTGCAATCCAACCACTCTCACGTCTCTTTTCCCCTTTTCTAAGGGATTTTCAAATCCCTTCCACTGTCGTCTTGAAAAGGGAAAGGAATTCAAATTTCAAAATTCAAAATTATACCCGTTTCCCCCTAATTTCCATCTATATATTCATCTCTTTATGCATATTGCAAGGAGGAAGAAAAATAGAGTTGGAAGAGGTGGGGAAAAAAAAAAGTCTTTGAAACTAAGAAAATTCATCTAAAAAATAAGAGATAGTTTGGCCGATCCAGTACTTCTCAGGCGTGTTGGTGGAATCCTCTCGTAGCTAGCTCGTTCTCGTCTCAGGACGCTGCCCGAAAAAAGGTGGTTTCTTCTCCTTTCCTTCTTGTTATTTACTCGATTTATTTTGTTGTTATTTACTTGATTTATTTTGTTTTAACTTAGAATTATGTGTAAAAGTATATACTTAGTAGTCACTAATGGAGTTCTATTAGCTCCTCTTTATGCATATTGCAATGAGATTTAAATATTCAGCTCATTCCCTCACCTGTTGGTACGATAGCATTTGGTTGGTTAGGCTTCAACATTTGCCGCGTATGTTTTATGCCTTAATGTATGGCCATTTGTTCTATTAAATAGTTTTCACGCTTTTTTTTTATGCTTGTGTTATAGAAAGAAAAATATTTTTCCTTATTCCTTTCAACAAATGAAAAAATAAATAAATAAAGAAGAAATGGAGAGAATATATATATATGAATGTCTTGGCAGTAGTGTCTATCACTAAAGACAGTAATGATTTGGTTACTTCATCACATGAATTATCCTTTCAAGAAGGCATTTTGTTTAACTTAGATTTCAAACTACCATGTGATTTCATATTCTTTCAAGCTTCTTTAACGGGTACATGCATTGGATTGATATATATTATTATTTGGAGTCAAAACTTATGGTGCTTTTCCTTTGCATCAGTGAGCCCTTGGCCCCTTGCTGAACCATGTCCGGGAACCTTAAATAAATTTAGTTATCTTGGATGGCTCATTTGTGGAGATTTTATCCGTTTTAACTAAGATGAGTTATCTCATGTTTATCCGATTTTAGATATTCTGATCTATTACTTTATGACTCTTTGGTTGATTAGAATGTTTATCTTAGCATGTCACTACTCCCTTTGTTCACTAACAGTGGCTTAATCCATATCCTAATCTTTAGTCTTATTTGTCACTAAGAGTTGTTATTTCACAAATACAAGTGCTAATCTTTTATTTTTGTTATCTTTGCATGTGATACCAATCCGAGTTCACTTTGGACTCCACTCTCGCATATCCTTGAGTCGTTTCGAGTCATCCTCATATTTGCGGTGAAAGGGAAGCTGAAACAGGCCCCGGAAAGTAAAAAATGGGCTGTATACATGTTGTATACAGCGGTATACGCTAATATGTAGGCCCAAAACGCAAAAACAGAGGGCTGAGGCGAAATGCAGGTGTTCAGAAGCAAGAGATACATCAAAAGAGCTGATATATATGCTCATATACACTGATATACCTTTTAGTCAAGTCGCAAGTCAACCGCATGTTAGCGGACACTTCGAATGCTTAAACCCCTTCTCGAAGTGTAAATTGAACCCCGAACCCTCTTTTGATATTTTCAAATGATTTTTTCTGTTTAAATCTTTGAAAATTATAAGTTTTCTTAATTTCTTTAAAAAATTAAGTGGCGACTCTTTTCTAAGTATTTTTCTTAAATTGTTTTATACTTAGAACATTTCAAAAATGTGATTTTTCTAAAGGTAAGAAAATTACGGCACAACAAACCCAATTACATAATAATTCAAAAAGGTATAATTGGAAAGAATATTTTTAAAGAGTTTCAATCCAAACACAAGATGAGGTGGGAAACAATGAACCAAACACTTGATAAAAATAAACTCTGCATTACTAATACATGCACTATTAATCCCTGCATTACTAATCCCCGTGCTATTAAGTTTTGTACCAAACGACCCCTTATAGTATATGATAATCGGGCTCCTCATAAGTCCTTAGACATTTTATTATAATATTTGACTTGTAAATGTTAAGTATTTATAGGATAAATGTTGCACTAGAAAGTATAAATGATGGTGGATATAGGAGCAATTTTTACCAATTAGTGTTAAACAAATAATTGTTAGAGTAAGAGTGTTTTTTTGAAAATTAAATTAGTTATCTAATTTTATATGGATCATTGATATGCTTCAATGACCAGTATCACTATTTATCTATTTTTCAGAATTTTCAATTTTTACTTTCATTTTCTGTTCAAAAATATGTTTAAAAAATTATTCAAAAATATGAGCCTTCATAACATTTATTTCTTCCAAAAGTAATGATACAATGACTATAAATGTACAATAACTAAAAAGAAAACGTTAATTTTGGTTAGTTTAATTTGATTAAGTTACTGCTAAATCGACAGTAACTAACCAAAAAATAATGTTAATTTGAGTATAGCATTAACTTAAAACGGAACGTGAATTTTACTTAATTTAATTAAATTAAATTACTACTAAAATTGGAGGTAACTAAAATTAACCAAAAAGGAACATTTATTTGATTAGTTGTAAGTTTTCTTATACCAAAATAACTAATGACTAAAAATTAGCACTAATTAAGAGATTTTAATTTTTCTGTATTGTGAAATTAATGATTAGCTGTAACTTGTAAGTTTTCTTCCTTTTCGGTTTTTCCACCAACAGTTTCTTCATTTTCAATTATATTAATTAGTATGTATTAATTTTTGAGTAATTATATTTTAATTAATTTTGTGTCTTTTCATATTTTATATTTTTGTACTATATATAGATTGGAAGTGTATTTTTTTTCTTCATGTAGTAGCTTGCTTACTATATTTGTTTTTAACTAGATTGTTAGTCTAACATATTTTTCCTTTTTTTTCCAGAGTTGATCATTATAATAGACATGATTTGATGATAAGGAATAAGATTTGAAGAATGTGGAATGCGATTTATTTCAAGACAAAAGGTGAATTGATTTATAATTTTTCACTCTTCACATATGAAACCCAGACGACACTAATTAAATTCTCTTTGGTATGTCCAATCTCTTATTTAACTTCTTGATCACCTTAATTCTCATAATGTATTGTGAAATTATGTATGTTGAAGTTATTATATATTTTTTTTATAGAATGTGTTTGGCAAGTGGACTAACTAATGTGGAATACAAAGTCATCCATGAGACAAAGAACAAATTGAGATGATTGATGAGAAAATTTGTGGGAGAATACTAGGGATTCACGTACAAGTAGGAGATGAGAATTTATCTTGATAGTAATCATAAATTTTCACAATATTTTGTTACATTAGATGTTTGTATGACAATTACAGGATCCTCTTAATTGGTGAAGTTATTCCTAAATTAGATGATCAGTCATTCTCTCTATTGTCACCATATAAGTGTGCTAAATAAGTCTAGAAAGCATAATTATGCAAGTTTCTCATAGAGATGCCATGAGTAAGTATCATTGTTTAGACAACTACATTATTGTACGTTCATCAATTTTTTGAAGAAAAAAATTTGTGCTCTTTTCAATATATTGTCTCAAAGACTATATCAAATATGCATAATAATGTCATATGTACTTCACTTTGTTAAAAAATATGTTGTGTGTTTTTATGATTTTAGTTTTATTAGGTTTTATTTCATTTTTCTTTTAATTGAAAAGCAAATTTATTTATTTTTAAATGTGGTTCATCTAACACCAATAAAAATATTATTTTTGTGTTTTAATCAATATGACAAAATTAAAATTTATTTTCGCTATATGAAATTATAAAAATATTATTTTCAGTCAAATTCACTAGTGAACTTAATACTTTTAGATCTCTTTATTATTAATTAAAGATGCAATATACTAGTTCATGAGATAATTATGAACTAATTATAAATGCATGTATAGTCATTCAACAAATCTTCCAAATATTTCATATTATCCATGTAAAACACAAATAATCTGGCATATAATAAAATATCTAATCTTTCATTGAGATAATTTTTAATTTCATTTGGAAATACGAAATATAATATTGTACATGTTCCACACCAATAATTATATTAAGTCTAAATATGTAATGTCTATTTAATTGTAATCTAGACACAAATTTCTTTATATAAGCAGAGAACATATTTAACTAAAAAGGAATAAGAAAAGAATACATTATAAAATAACATTTACTTAACTAATACAAAAATCACTTACAAATGGTCATCATTATAAGAACTTTACATAAAATAGTACAAATAATTCATTATTTTGTTGTAAGTCATACAACATGAATAAAGAAAGTATTATTTTCTTCCAAACCTTCTTTACAATCAATCAATCAATCATAACGTCTTTGACCCAAATACAACAATAATGTTATTGCCCTTAACAATTCTACAAAGATTGATGACAACTTTTCTTCTTGCGGTCTATGACTATGACCAGAAAGAAAAATCAAAAAAGAAGAAAGAAATGATATACCAAAGATGAGAAAATGGATCTTAATTTATAAAGAGAATTGACATTAACATACTTTAGTAAGAAGATCAGATATGAGATTTGTAAATTCATTTCCCTTTCTAGGTGACTTTAAATAGGAAAACTTTAGGTGGGGGGAGATGAAAGGAAAAACAATAAAAGAGGCACATCAATTTCCTACTTAATTATGTAACATTTGATCTTCACCTGTAATTCATTGAACAATATAGTTATGAATCTTTTTGTCTTCTTGATAATAATTACTTATAACAATTTAATATTAATTCACCATACAACATAAATAAATTGTAACCGAAAGAATTTGATATTGGCTTAATGTGTAACTCTCCCTTGTAGTAACTAAAATTTACTATTTAATAATTAATTAGCAATTTATTAGATGATTAATAGTATTTGTATGTGCTATAGCGACAAAATGATAATCTAACTTTTGCCTAACATTCTTCCCACTTTTAGTATAATATGATGATATGATTATCATTAACTTTGAATTTGCTAACCACCTTAATATTAGGATTACCTCAATTCAAGTATTGGCTGCAGTTGTCAATAGATCCGTCCAAAGGTGTAGCATAGTGATCAATAAAGTGAGGGAACGTCATGGGAGACCAAAACTCTAGATAGTCAAAAAAATGTTAAGTGGTTTCTTCCCATTTCTAAGTCTGTGCGGACGAAGTTACTATAAGTACTTATCAATTTTACTATCAAATGCCATTAATATGCTTTCCTGACAATTCAACTTAATCCTCAATTTTATTTCAATGAATTGACATACTAGCTTTATTAAACATAACCTTTATAATTCATAATCACTATTTGAACAAGATAAGAGCAAGTTATTTATATACATGTCATGTTCTGAATTAATTGATCCATTCAACAAAGGTTCAGATGATTTTAGCACAACAATTAACATTAAATTGACTTTGAATTGCTTACATATCTAAATACACGATTAAGAAATACATAAATCTCCAAATGTCTAATTAAATAAACTACAACTCAATTAGGTATGATTTTAGCACAACAATTATATACATT